CAGGGAGGACCCTCTTGTTTCGCACGAAGAAAAAAAATCCCCTTTTTGACCGTTTGAAATGGTTTCCCTCCCCCTCAGTGCCTCTGGTCCTGTCAAACAGGAAGACGTCGGTGCTCTCCTCGTGCGAGAAAGAGGAGGAGGAGGAGGAGGAGGAGGAGGAGGAGGGCTGAGAGAGGCAAGTCCCACGAGGAGTGAGCGGGAGCGGGAGGGGAAGAAGGAGAACGAGAGAGGGACGGGGATGAGAATGGAGGGGCAGAGGTTTGAGGGGATAGAGTCCGACAGAGGCAGATGGAGGAAACATTGAATGCCAAACACGAAGGCAGGGGGACGGGAAGGTGGCGGGAAAGGGAGGCAAGAAGGGGGTGGGGTGGGAAGGTCTTACGCTCATGAGGTAGCAGAGGTCATGGAGGAAGGGAGTGAAGATGTCGAAGAGCTGTCACAGAAGTCACAGGTCAACCCAAGTGTCGGGCTGAGCAAGACCTTGCAGATGAAATTCCCTCCTCTCCTCAGTATCATCAGCGCAGTGCAGCACTGGCACAGGGCCAGCCTCCGCATGATCCACTCCTGACTGTGACAGGCGATCATCTACCCTCTCCTCCTTCCTCTTTCCTCCTCCTTCACCGCAAAAACTCTCCGTCCACAGAGTCCCCTCCGTCGGCAGTGACCAGGACTACACCCCTCCCTTCCGTGTCCTTCTTTACCTGCCATCCCGTCCTGAGCGTGCTGAAACCTCAGCCACCTCAGCGTCAACGTCACCTTGGCTGCGAAGTGCCGCATGTTCTCGTTGTTGTAGATATTCCCCGAGTCATCCTGAATTCGAAGATGAAGGGGAGAGGGGAAGAAGAAAGGGGGGCAGGGCATGGAGAGAGGATGAAGAGAAAGGGGGAGCGAGATACAGACAGAGAGAGACAGAGTGGGGGAGGGAGAGTCGTGGGTGGAGAGAGGGAGGAGCGAGCGAGGGCGAGTCTCGAGAGGAACCTGTCCGTAGCAAGGAGTGAAGGTATAATGTGGGGAGGTTGAGTTGAACTTGTCAAGACGGAAGTCATGGTCTCCTTTCAAGGTGAATCCCCAGCTGATGCGGAACTCAATAGGAGGAACAAGCAGCCGGCAGGGCATACCCGCGGGCGGACTGCTGTCTCCTCCAGTACATGTATTCGGTGAATCCTCCTGCATTAGGCTTCAAAGGTGGGCGAGCAGGAGCAGGAGCGCATCGAGGACTGGACCTGGCCCTGCGCAAATGTCGGCGAAGTAGAACTGGTTGTCGTGCTTGGAGGGAGTGTCATCGATGACAGGGTTTGAGTATCTCCTGGATGTGAAATTGAACAGCCAGTCCATCTCGGCCATCTTCATCGCAGCCCTGTCAACAACATTTCAGCGCGGAACGTGTATGGAACCTGCTCCTCCCTCACCTGTTCTGAAAGATGTGATGACCTTTCACTGAACAAAGCTCCCACGGGTTGGCTCTCATGACAGCGTCTCTCATCAACTGAAAGGGGAAGGAGCAACATCAGCAAATCCTGCAGCTTCTCTCCCTCCCTGACACTCCAGCCTCCTCTGTCTAGCTCTCGCCCCTGCTCAACCTCCCTTACACTCATGCTCCCTGGCCTTGCCCTCCCTCCTCCCACATCTTCCACCCCTTCGCTCTGCCCTCCCTTCCCCCTCCCCCCTCTGCCACTTGTACTTTGCGGTCCATGTTATCGAACGCGCTCTTGGAGTCCTTTATGTCTTGGGCTACTTCACGCGTTGCCAGCATGTCGTAATCAGCAGTCGGGGATGCCTGGGAATCCCTCACAACGCTCAAGTATGGAGAAGGGACTGAGCAACCTTGGGGTCTCCCATACAGTCACAATCCTGTACCTGCTCCATCACGTATCCCATCCGCAGAGCCTTCCAAATCCTGATCAGCTCCTCTCGACCTCCCATCGCAGCTACTCACATCGAACGAGGGGTTCATGTGGTCAGGGTCTGCCACAACCCACTCCACGTAGACATCGATGCTGATCTCCTGTACGTTCAAGGTTCAAGACAGCGTCAAGACAGCACCTTGAAGCCGTGGAAGTAAGCACCTCTTTCTTCTGGTGGTTTTGGATGTGCAGACCGGCTTTTCGTTCCCTTTGGAAACCGCTAGAGGCTCCCAATCCAGCACGATCCTATTAAAGCATCGTGACACGAAGCTCCCCAAGACTAATCTGAGAGCATACCTGTTTGTCGTAAACATCGATAGCTTGAGTCAACCCTTGTCCGGTCTTACCCAAAGCATCCCCTGAAAAAGAATCCAAGTGACTCTCTGTGCTTGCCCCGGCACTCACAACAAACCCTCTTTCCATCCCATCTTCGCCATCATCTTTGCAGCAAACGAGGTTGGTGCTGGATCCTGCTGGCTTTCGTCCTGATCTCCAGACTGAGGAGGGGAGCTCGCAGGGGCATACTGAGGTGATTGTGGAGCCTGTAAACGATAAATGCAGAGTTCAGCGATGAAGGGATCAACTGCTCTAACACACTACTAGCATCACTACCTTGGCCATGCCATTGCCTGTATCGAATGCTGAAACTTGAATCAGAAACTAACGAACCAGCCAAATGGAATTTACATGGCTGTGGAGATCCAGGAGCGTACTGCGGAGACCCTGGAGGCTTGCCGGGGGGGCTGCCCGGGGCGTACTGCGGAGACCCTGGAGGCTTGCCGGGGGGACTGCCCGGGGCGTACTGCGGAGACCCTGGAGGCTTGCTGGGGGGGCTGCCCGGGGCGTACTGCGGAGACCCTGGAGGCTTGCTGGGGGGGCTGCCCGGGGCGTACTGCGGAGACCCTGGAGGCTTGCTGGGGGGGCTGCCCGGGGCGTACTGCGGAGACCCTGGAGGCTTGCTGGGGGGGCTGCCCGGGGCGTACTTGGGGGACCCCCCTGATGCATAGTGGGGTGAACCTCCCGAGCCATAGTTTGGAGAGCCTCCCGGCGCAAAGTTGGGCGAATTGCCTGAGGCGTAGCTTGGGGGGCTTCCAGATGCATAATGGGGGGAACTAGAGTTGTTCTTATTCGAATACCCGTAGTCGGGAAGGCTCCCCGGGGCAAACTCCTCCTAGAACCAATGTTCAGTGACAGACGATGATCAACGAATACGAAAGAGTACGGGGGGGGAGCTCCCCGGGGCAAACTCCGCAGGGTCTTCGGTGGCATAGCTGCAGGAGGACAAGTCAACCGGAAGCCGATGATGGCAGGATCGACACCTGGGAGTCTCCTGTGGCTCAGTATCCTCGGCAGTCGGAACGAAATCTACTTTTCACGTTCATCAGTCTCAGACACGGGTCGAGGCGCTGAGCCGATCCCATACCAGCTCCTGCTTCGGGGTCTGCTTGAGCCTTGGTCTCGTTCCCTAAGGAGGAGTAAGTTGAGAGGAAAAGTCACAGGAACCATGTTGCTTCAACCTTCCGCACTTGCCGAAGACGCGCCCAAGTCCAAGTCTGTACACACGGTCAACAGAGTCAGCCGCTGAACTAGACCGGGACCACCTGAGGGGATCTTGCTTCCATCAGCAGAGCCTGCGCTGTCTGTCGGCCAACGTGCAGCTGGCGAGGTTGGGGTACGTGGGGTTTGCGGCGTTTGTGGAGTACGAGGGGTACGAGGGGTGGTGGGCTGAGAGGTATTCTCCACTCTCCCTCCTCCATTCTCCTCGTCCCTCGGGACGATTATTTGCGGCCCTCCATGCGTTTCTGCCTTGACGAAGCCAGAGTTACCATAGATCGAGCGGCTCGTGCTGCTCTCCTGCTTCTTCACTGGTACTGGCGCCGGGTTGAGGACGATGGTGCCATTGGGGTTCAACACCGGCGGCGCCAGCCGCGGGTGCGCGGAGGTGCTGGCAAAGTGTGTATCGCTAGAATCAAACATGGGTAGCAAAGAGTCGAGCGATCGACCAGGTTCAAGATGCCATCCTTGACCTTCCACAGGCTGCAAAGCGACCGAGTCAAGGGCGAATCAAAGAAATTGGGAGCTAGATCATGGTTCCTCTCATTATATGCGACTGAGGCGACAGATTGGAGCGCGTGCCCGATAGATTGGATGGATGGTCCAATGACAAAGGTGGTTAAATGTGCAAAATTATGAGAACAAGGGAAATGAGGAAGAGGAAGAGGGAATGGAGGACGACCAACATGAGGATCCGGCGAAGGAGCAGGCGGAAGAGGAGCAGGCGGAAGAGGAGCAGGCGGAAGAGGAGGAGCAGAAGCAAGGGAGTGGAGGGACAGGAGGACGACGACAACGAGGACGACGACAAGAAACATGGGCAGGGAGAGGACCAGGAGCAGTAGGATAAGGAGCAGGAGCAGCAGGAGCAGCAGGAGGATGAGCAGTTTTCCAGGCTCTCACCCTTGTTCTTCCTGACGAGCATTTCCTCCCGCCCCGCCTTCCCTTCTGCCCCTCATCCCCTAACATTCTACCAAAATCAATAAACTTTCCAATAAATCTAACATTATTCAATATTTCTCTGCCATAAAATACTTTCTTTAAAACCAATTTTAAATGGCTGCGGTCCCTCACCCCACCCCACCTGATGAACCACCCGCCTCACTAGGAGGTACCCCTACCTTAAACATTCCCAGATTCTACCCACTACCCTGAAGTTCCAGATTCAGCGCACCCACCATCTTGATTTCAAATAATCATATCAAATGATGTTTTAATGTGAACATATGTTCCACAATTTCAATTTTTTACATTCAACTTTGGACACAAGGGAATATCTGTTTGCCGGGAATCCCACAATTATTCATTACAACCCCTGTTTTGCTATGCTGTACAGTACTACCCTCGTCAAACCCACCCCACCCCTTCTAGTCATGATTTGGGCTGTAGCGGCATGGTTGCGCGTGCGGGGAGAGGAGAATGATGAGGAAGAGAAGGATGGAGGAGGAGGGGGAAGGAGAAAACCCCATGTCCAATGAAAGTTACTAGTACTTTACCATCAGCCGTGCAGGAAGAACCAACTCGGGACGTAAATTCTTTCTGGAACCATGCTGTTCATGCTCATGTTCAATTTGGTTCCCTCGAACATTTTTCGGTGATCATGGTGGGCGGGCGATATGTGAGCGAGTTTGGGATGCTGAAATAAGGATCTTGGACTGGTTTGAAAAGAATTTACGGTCCATCTCTGCATTCTTGAGCCCCAAAAGTTCTTGTTTTGAGGCAATGTGATATTTGAGACTTTTTGACCCTTTTTGTGTTGCTGTGCCACTTGCATGTTGACAGGGATGGTAGAACATACTTCTTTTCTGTTCTCCATCCTCTTCGCACTTGAAATGATTGTCGTTGATTTTCTCACACTGAATCTCTGCTTGGCAGGTCTGCTTCTTTCACCGTTCCCTCTATCGTCATGGCAGACTGCATAGAGGAGCATTGGGCGGAGGTCAACGGTAGCGATGGCGGAGGAGAGAGCAGTGGTGGAGAGTGGTGTGCTCCAGGAAACAGGAATTGTCCAGGCAAAGAGAGTATCAAGTGGCAGAACAAGTCTGTATACATACAGGTCCAACCTGTTGCCAGCTGCCGTTCGTGCCTCTTTCTCACCTCAAGCTTCACAGATAAGTGAGAGCTGCTCGCCGATGTTCGGAAGCCTCTCGATCAGGGTTGAAGATGAAGGTCAATCCGTCTACATCGTTTGGAATCCAACGGACGACCCGAATCAGGTGATGAATGAACTCTCTTCGTCATGCTGGGAAGGTGAAAGCGGCTGCACTGTAGGCTGCAACTAAAGCGGTCAGCAATCTCCAGTACGCCATCTGCACGCACATATCTCAGATCTACTCCATCCGTCTCATCCGACCGTCCCTGGGAACGCCACAGGTCTCTCCATAATCTGCAAGTCCTTCACTGAAGGACTGTACAGGTCATCCTCAACCTGCGAAGCGGGTGTTCCCACCCTCCGATGTTCTTCCACTCTGGCCGCGCTTTGGAGTTTCAAAACAAGTTGCAGGAGGTGAATGATTCCCTGTGAAAGGTGTGAGAGTGACTGCAAGTTATCCCAGTATGCTACCTTGACTCGATGTGATGCCGATGCTTCGACGCTCCTTGTGAATGATAGCTCGAATATGCTCCAACGAAGTTTGCACGGATTGGATATGGTCCAGTCTTCTCCTGGCGTTGTTCGATCAAGAGCGCCGACGAAGCCAAGCACTCCTGAATGCCAGGCAGAGATTGACGGGGATGAGTTAGAATGGAGTCGGGAGATAGGAGGCGAATGGCAGTGGAGGTACCTGCAGGGAGGCGTTCGCGTGATGCAAGGCTTACGATCAGGCTGGAAGAAAGCGAGTGCTGTAGCAAGCGACGTGGCAGCGAGTGCTGCGGAACTTCTCGATCAGATGGATCCTCCAGCCTCGACCATGCCTCTGCCTTCGGAGGCTCATCATCACCCAGCTGGCAGTCGTCCTTCCTCGAAGGCGAATGAAGTCAGATGTGGGGATGATGAATGTGTCTTTGTGGAGCACGAGCCTCTACCATGGGAAGACCAAGGCCTGATAGAAGAAGCTGAATTCAGAGGTTTTTTCGAGACCAATGGAAGGTGCTCCTCCAGGCATGCGTGACTCCAGCAGCTGACGGAATCGCAGGATCCGAGACATCCAAAAGTTGAGGAGGAGAGCTTTCTATGGCGGTTTTGCTCCAAACGTTCGGCGGGAGGGATGGAAATGGCTTCTCGGATGTTATCCTGTGAACTCAACGAGGAAGGATCGCGAACATCTCCTATCGCAGAAGGCGAAGGAGTATGAAGCATACCGGCGCCAGTGGGAAAGCATAACAGCGGACCAGGTAGTCAGTCTTCTGCTGCTGGGTTTGAAGGCCTGATCTCTGTTTCTTTAGGAATCGAGATTCTCGAAATTCAGAGATCGAAGGCACAGGATCGAGAAGGACGTTATCCGCACTGATCGAAGTATTGACATCTTTGTGGACGACAATGGCGATGGGCTGCAAAAGCTCTACCGCATTCTCCTGACCTACTCTTTCTACAACTTCGACCTCTCCTACTGCCAAGTTAGCCCGCAGCATTGCTCCATGTGAAGTGACTTAGTCCCCAGGGAATGAGCGACCTGGCAGCTCCTCTACTTGTTGTTATGGAGGATGAGGTCCGTTGAGGACTGAAGTGCTGCCATCAGGCGCTGACTATGGTGCAGGTCGAGGCTTTCTGGTGCTTTCAGAAGTTGATGGATCTCATGGAGCCGAATTTCCACAAAGATCAGAATGGGATGCATACACAGTTGCAGACGATTAATACTCTGTGTAAGGTGAGATCCTGGACCATGTCAGGATTTGGAAAGAAGAAACAATTTCCTTCCCTTCCCTTCTCCCCCCTTCTCTCCTCTTCCCTACCCTCCCCTCCTTTCTAACGTCAAGTTGCCTATCTCTTCTCTTGCCTTACCGAGTGCATCGCAGGATCTTGAGCCGGAGTTGTACGACCATCTCGAGAGGAAAGATTGCTCCAACTTCTATTTTTGCTTCAGGTGGCTGCTGATCATCTACAAGGTGACTCCCTCCCGCCACCGTCCACCTGCGCTGATAATTTCGTGCAACAGAGAGAGTTTGGGCTGCAAGACGTTTTTCGACTCTGGGAGGCGTTCTGGAGTCGAGTCAGAGGGCAAGATCTGCACCTGTTCGTCGCCCTTGCCATCTTACGCAAGCACAAGGCTAACATCATAGAGGAGGTGATGGGGAGGAGGGAGGAGGGAGCTGATGGTGCTGATGCGATCTCTGCAGGACATGGAGTTTGACAGCGTTTTGAAGTTTGTGAACGATCTTTCTGTTAGTCCCTCCTCCTCCTCCTCCTCCTCCTCCTCCTCCTCCTCCTCCTCCTCCTCCTCCTCCTCCTCCTCCTCCTCCTCCTCCTCCTCCTTCGCCTCCGCCTCCTCCTCCTCCTCCTCCTCCTCCTTCTCATGCTGGCCTTACGCATCGCAGGGGAGGATGGACTGCCTCGAGGTACTGAAGGACGCAGACTTTCTCTCGCAGGTTGAGAGTCTTGGATGCTTGAGACCCAGCAGAACTGATCGTCTTCTTTTGCACAGGAAGCTCAGTTCCGAATGATCACGACGAGGTTTACTTTGTTCGCTGCATGTTGTTGATAATGATGATCATGATGACGATGTCTGATGATGCGGATGGATGATGTGGATAGATGATCATATACGACGACGATGATGATGTAACTGCATTCCGCAGGTCTGCAAGGAACTCGTTGGGGTGTGCGTGAAGTTGTTCTACATGTTTAAAGGCCCGGGCCTCAACTCATCTTAGCCTCATGTTGTTGTAAACTCAAGCTCTCAAGTCTTGACCTTCTTCACCGTCGCAACCAGCTGCTTCATCTTGTTGACATACTGCATGCTCGCCGTGAGGAGAAGGCAAGTGGAAGTGAGAGGCAGCAAGAGAGCAGCAAGGGCAAGGAGAGAGGAGGGAGATCAGAGCACAGGCAAAGGATAGCACGAGGAACGTGCAGACAGCGGCAGAGGAGGCAAGCAGGATGGAGGAGGAGGAGGAGGAGGAGGAGGA